AGTTCTCGGCAGACACAACATCTTTGTTGGTATGTGGTGCTGAGGATCGAACCCGGGCCGCACGCATGCCAGGCAAGTGTGCTACCGCTTGAGCCACATCCCCAGCTCAGTAAAATTCTTAAAAAGACTGAGGCTTGAGATGTTAAGTGAACAGAGCTTGTAATATCAACAATGATCATCTAATGGCTAAGGAAAATGGCAGTTTTAAAATGGGTTATCAATAGTGACCTTCTGCCAGTGGTGAGTTCAAAATGGAAGATGGCATTTGTACTGGTCATGTCAAGAAACAGAATCCTCAAATAATGCAATTCAAAAATTACCTGAGATCTTTAGTTATCAGCCCCTCTTAGAGGTTTAGATTAATACCTTTATTCTTCAGTTCCTCTGGAGGTTAGATATGGCATATCCTTAAAAAACAAACAAACAACAACAACAAAAACTCTCTGGAAAATGGACCAACACAAAATAGAGTTTTCATGTGAATAATAGATACATAGTTCTCCATTTTCTAAAGTTGTGGTCAGTGTTAGATTTGAAGGTAGAGAGAAACTCAGCAAAGAAATAGGTTACATCTGGGGTGGACATCATGGGCAAGTAGTAACAGCTGTTTAGTTGGCTATAATGAAAATTGTGAGGCTGAACTCCATTTTAGTGGAAAATTGAACTGCAATAGATTCAGAAAGAAATTGCTCTCTGATTGATTTGGAATATCCATCATAGGCATGACAAGTGTGAGAGTAGCCCAGGTGGAATGTATTTCTCAATCCTGGGCTAACCCTGTCTTTGGGCTTAGTGGGAAGACATAACTCTCAAGGTCAGGAAAGTAGAGGACTAGAATCCAAGGAGGCTTTTAAACTTAATCTTGCTTTCTGCTACTCTTCCTTCTGCCTATTTATTTTCTAGTGGGGCATTACCCAGTACCTTACCATAGTGGAGAACTTTAGAACCACTTATGTCTACAGTGAGTTAGAAAGTATTCCTAGGATATGCCCCTACTATAGAAAAACCATCATTTGGGTATGATAAAATCCTATTTGCCTTTCTTTGTAAATTTAGAATAACAAGGTTCCAGTGCCCTAGGTGTATTTAATTATTCATGTAAGGGTTATTAGTGTGTGGTAAGTGAGTCCTTATTGAAAGTTATACATGCCAGCAACCTGCGGTGCAGCTATGTGAGACAGTGTTCTTGCTAAATTATTAAGCTACAAAATGAATAATGAAGGGCATTTTAGTGGAAAGTTACCTGAAAAAATAGCTGCTCTAGTTAGGAAAAGAAAAGTGAGAAAGCAGGGGTAATGAGTCATTCTATTCCTTGTGGGAAGGTAAAGCAATCTTTTTCATAATTTAGTGTATGATGGATGTAGCCATAGCAAGTGACATAAAAGCAGTGATATTTGGACCCCATGCTCCTTGAATTTTTTTTTTTTTTTTGGTACTGGGGATTAAACTCAGGGTCACTGGACCACTGAGCTACATCCCCAGCCCTATTTTATATTTTATTTAGACACAGGGTCTCACTGAGTTGCTTAGCATGTCACTTTTGCTGAAGCTTGCTTCAAACTCATGATCCTCCTGCCTCAGCCTCCCAAGCCACTGGATCACAGGCATGCACCAGCATGCCCAATGGACCTCTGTTTTATTTATTTATTTTTATGTAATGCTGAGGATCAAACCCAGTGCCTCATATGTGATAGGCAAGCACTCTACCAGTGAGCCACAACCCCAGCTCGCTCCCTGAATTTTTAAGGATGGCATTATTATGGAGGGCACTCATATTCTTACTCAGCATTTCTTAGTGTGTCATAGAACATGGTGTTCTTGACTTCTATACCATAAACCTGACCTCCAGGTGTATCTGATGATAGTCTTGTTGTATCATGTGTCCCTGCTTCATAGTACCACATTCTTATTGTATTTATTCCCTCTTGCTGCTGTAAATTATCACAAATTGGGTGCATTAAATTTAAGATCTTAGTGCTATAGTGGTTGGACATGGAAAATAATTTCAAAGGACCATTTCCTTCTTGAGGTACTAGGGAAAGTCTACTTATGTATATACCCTTTCCTGCCTTCAGAGGCTGCCCAGATTCCTTAGCTCGTGGGCCCCCATCATTCTGACACAATTTCTGTCATTTTGTGTCCACCTTTCCTCTTCTCCCACAGTAATATTGCTTTCTCTGGTTCTGATCCTCTGTGTCCTTCTGATAATAATCTTTGTGGTCACACGGAACTCACCTAGACAGTCCTGGATAATCTCATCATCTGATGGTCAGATTTAGTCAGATCTTCAAAGACCCTTTTGCCATGTAAGATAAGGATGTGGAGAAAATGATATGGACATCTGTGAGGGTGCTTTTTCAGCCTGTCATACCCCAGAACCTCTTAGATCTTACCATTCAGTAATCCTCATCTACATGATAAATTTACTTCAGGTGTCTCCGATACCTGAATTTCTCCACCCCTTTTTGATTTAACTTGGATTTCCATTTCAAATATTTGGACCGTATTTTCACAAGAAGATTTCTGCACTGCAATCCAGGGACCTAACGAGGGAAACAGAATTCTTTGTTTAATTGTTTGAACAATTTGATGAAGAGTTGCTCTGGGTCTGGGGGCAGGGGAGTGGGGAGACCAATATAATTCTTTGAATGACATATCAAATCTACGAAAAGACTGACTTGGGTATTTGGAAAAAAACATGTTCAACACAAAAATTAGTTTCATAATATGATTTGTTTTAGTTAAACCACATGAAATGTATCCTGAAATTTTAAATAACTCTAAAGAAAGACGTATGCTTTTTATGTATATTTAAAGGGCTTATGAATTAAAGAGGCTGACACATACTGTTCCATCTAAAATTTTGTCTTTTTTTGCATAAACTCAAATGTAGTTTTTCTCTCCATTTTAAGATGGATTTCTTCATTATATATATTTTTTCTATTTAGTCCCATATTTTATAGTTTCCATTTTAGGAGAAACAGGAAGAGACAGAAAACAATGAAAAGGAGAGAGTGAACATAAATTACAGAAGAGGTATAGAACTAAAGGAGAAACTTGAGATAGATAGGAGATCTGAGAAATATATAACAGTCATTGGAAGGATGAAGGGGATATTTAGGTAACCTCAAAATGGAAGTTAGTATACACAGAAAAGAAATTATTATTATTATTTTTTTTAATTTTAAGTGTAGAAAAAACTTCTCTGTTTTCAAAGCAAATGATTTTCTGGGTGCTGAGTCTCACAGACCTCAAACTCCTATACTTCTGTTGACTGGTGCTTCCCGACTTCCTGGACTTTCTGTAATTTTAAATCTTTAGGTGCCAATTAGATGGTGGAGCCTTGGAAAATATTTGATTATCTAGAAACTTCAAAGATGAAAATTCAGTAATTTAATTTTGTGATCTACATTTTAAATTGCCATTTTCAAAGTATTTTGAATTCATGGTAATGGAATTGTTGGGAGAGACCTTGATTTCCTGATGTTTTATTTTGTGGTTTGCCTCCTGAGGCAGATAAACAACAAATCCTATTCCTGGAATCCGTTCACTTTTTAAGAGTCCAGGTGTTGAGGACTATTCAGACAGGTAGTGTTTGGGTAATCCTTGTGATTTTTATTTTGAAAAATCTTTCTGTGAGTATTCATTTGCACTTCTGACATTCTGAAACATTATATTAATGAGCAAGTCATGAAGAATGGTTTCTCTCTCAGAATTTTCATCAAATATGTGAGAGATGAAATTGTCATGGTTTGCTGTGTCTCAGCAATAGGGATCCTCTGTCGTTCTCTAGGACTGGCAGTCATATGGAGTCCAATCATTTTCTCTGTGGGAACCAACACTTTCCCACTCACCCAGAGCTCTTTTCAACTCTTTTCTGAAGGTTACACATCTTGACAAGAGATTACAGAGCTGTGACTTTACAGAAGAGTCATCTGAAATAATTAGCCTTTCCCTTAGATGAACCCTCCTGGAAATTTATAGAAGGTACAGGCATTTTAGATTACTGTCCCACGGGCATTTGCCTCTTTTCTTGCTATAATTTTATTCTTTCTCCAAATGTTGCTGAAGTCTGATCTGTCATCAATCAGTAAATTTGACTCCATAGTGTCTGTGTTTAAATATTTGTTTTTCAATTATTTTATTTTATTTTATTTACAATTAAGAAAAATGTTTGGTCATAGGACGCACGTTGAAGGTTATTCCAAGGATGGGTTTGGCTTACAAACATAAGATTGAGAAAGTGTAAGAATCCAATGAAGAAAACTTAATTTATTTCAGTGATCCTAGGCATCAACCAACAAGTACTTAAACTACCTGCTTTTAGTGCTAGCAACTGATGTTCACTTGAATTCTGTGTTCACTGTACAATGTCTACATTTTTCTCCTTTAAAACTACATAATGCTACATCCAAACTTAGATATTAGCTCTTTGTGCTCAAACCCCAATCTAGTGAATACCATGAAAATGACCAATTATAATGATCCCAGTGCCTATGGTATTTATAATGATTGAGCTATTGCAGTATCAAAAGCAGTGCTATGAAACAGGGTCAAAACCATTATTTCATAAAATAATGAGCCTTAGATAATGACGTCTCCCTGCCTAAGCTGATTTGGATATTCACAATATATTCTTTAATTGATTAATTCAGAAACCTTATAACAAAGGGCCAAATATTTGCCAGACATATTAGGCTTTGGAATGTGTCTGTGTGGGAGATTGGGATGAATTTGGGGAGCTCTTTTCAATTTCATGAATGATTAATTTGAGATAGGGAATCTCATTAGTATCAAGTATAGTTAGCTAAGCTAAGCAGTTTGGAAGAAAAAGATTTCTTCCTAATTAATAAAATGAGGGTCTGTGCAATGTAGTTAGTGGTTCAGAATTTGAGCTCAGAAGTTCTATGGCTGAGGTTCAAATACCATCTCTACACCCTGTTGAGTGGCCTTGGGCAAGTGATTTATTGTTTCTGTGCCTCCATTTTATCATTGATAATATAATTTAAAATTGTGTTGCTATTAAAAATAACACTTCTAAAACACTGAGCACAATTCCTGGCACGTAGCATATAAACATTATCCATATAAAACAGATTATAATAAAAGGAAATAAATCAAATTTTGGTCAATTTTTTGAAATATCTGTTTAATAGTTTTTTTTAATCGGAAGACAAAGGAAGTAAGAACTCTGTTTTTATTATTTTTATTGGTTCTTTTTAGTTATACATAACAATAGGACTCATTTTGACATAATTATAAAAGAATGGAATATAATTTGTTCTAATTGGGTCCCCAGTACTTCCCCTTTCCCTCCCCTCCTCTGTCCCTCTGTTCCTTTCCCTCTACTGTACTGATCTTTCTGCTATTCACTTATAGTTCTTTTCTAAATTATTGTCTTGAGGAAGTAAACGATAGTGAAATTCATGTGGTATATGCATATATGTATATAGGAGAATTAGGTCAGATTCCTTCCACTGTCTTTCCCCATCCCATCCATCCCCCTTCCCTTCATTCCACTTCCTTTACTCCACTGAACTTCTTTCTATTATTTTTTTAAATATTTATTTTTTAGTTATGGTTGAACACAATACCTTTATTTCACTTATTTATTTTTATGTGGTGCTGAGGATGGAACCCAGGGCCTCGTGTGTGCAAGGAGAGCGCTCTGCCACTGATTCACAACCCCAGCCCCTTCTATTCTTTCTTCTTAAATGTCTCAAACTTTATGGATTAGCTTCCACATAGCACAGAAAATATTCAGCTTTTGACTTTTGGGGACTGGCTTATTTCACTTAGCATGATAATCTCCAGTTTAATCCATTTGCAGGCAAATTTTAAAAAGTCATTCTTCTTTATGGCTGAGTAATACATACATACATATATATATATGTGTGTGTGTGTGTGTGTGTGTGTGTGTGTGTATTTATATATAATTATATATATATAACTTTTAAAATAATTTTCTTTATCCATTTATCTGTTGAAGGGCACCTAGGTTGACTCCATAGCTTGGCTATTGTGAACTGTGCTTCTATAAACATTAATGTGGCTACCTCACTGTAGTGTCCTGATTGTAAATCTTTTGGATATATACTGAGGAATGGAATACCTGAGTCATATGATGGTTTCATTCCTATTTTTTTGAGGAATCTTCATACTGATTTTCAAAGTGGTTGCACTAACTTGCAGTCCTACCAACAATGTATCAGTGTAACTTTTTTCCCACATCCTCACTAACCTTTATTATTACTTATATTCTTGACAATTGCATTATGAAAGGAGTGAGATGAAATCTCAATGTAGTTTTAGTTTGCATTTCTCTTATTGCTAGTGATGTTGAACTTTTTTATATATTTGTTGATGGTTTGTATTTCTTCTTTCTTTTTTTGAGAAGGTTTTGTTATTTCCTTTGTCCATTTATTGATTGGTTTATTGAATTTTTTGGTGTTCAGTTTTTTGAGTTCTTTGTATATTCTGGCTGTTATTTCCTAACTGATGAGCAGGTAGGAAATATTTTTCTCTCATTTTATTAACTCTCTTTTCTTTTCTTTGAATAAGTTTTTAATCTGATATCATCCCACTTTTTGGTTTTTTATTTTATTTCTTCCACTTTAGGAGTCATGTTAAGGAAGTCAGTTCCTGAGCCAAAATGTTGAAATGATGGGCTTACATTTTCTTCTAGCTGTTGCAGTGTTTCTGGTCTAATTCTGAGTTCTTTGAACTACTTTGAGTTGACTTTTGTGCAGGGTGAGAGACAGAGATTAAATTTTATTCTATTACATAAGGATTTCCTGTTTTCCAAGCACCATTTGTTTAAAAGGTTATCTTTTTACCAACATATGTTTTTGGCACCTTTGTCTGGTATCAGATAACTATTTTTGTGGATTTGTTTCTGTGTCTTCTGTTCTATTCCTTTAGTCTTCTTTCCTTTCTTGGTACTAGTACCATGCTACATCTCCCATATAATTTGAGGAATATTATTATGATATCTCCTGCTTGTTTTGTTTGTCTCACTAAGGATTGCTATGGCTACTCTGGGTCTCTTATATTTCCATTGAATTTCATAACTGCCCTTTCTAGTTCTGTGAAGAATATCATTGGAATTTTGATGGGAATCGCATGGAACCTGAATAGTGCTTTTGGTAGTATAACCATTTTGACAATATTAATTATTCTTGTTGAAGAACATGGGGGGGGGAATTTACATCTTCTTAAGTCTTCTTCAATTTCTTTGTTTACTCTTCTATAGTTTTCATTGTAAATGTCCTTCAGTTCTTTTGTTAGATTAATTCTAAATTAATTCATTTTTTTGAGACTTTTGTGAATGGGATAGTTTTCCTAATCTATTTTTCAGCAGATTCATCATTGGAGGATGGTTATAAAATAGAACTGTTGATACACATTGCAAGTACTTGGCTTGTAGCATATAGATGTATGAGTGTGTTTGTGTATCTAACAACACTTTAATTTTAGTCATTGCTGGGGGGTTATTTCCTTGTAATTCATGAATGAGTTAAGCAGTGACATTGTCTCACTATTTATGATTTGCCTAGCTTTTACATGTATTATTCTCACATTAAAGACAA